TGCTTCAGATCCTTCTATAGCTTCTGCTTCAGATCCTTCTGTAGCTTCTGCTTTAGATCCTTCTGTAGACAGCGCTCAGATTCTTCTATAAGATGATTTTGACTCTTCAGATCCTTCCATAGTTCTATGTTCAGATTAATTTACTCTTGGATGTATATATACTTTAATTATCTGCAGCAAATATTCATGAACAAATTTTAGAGTATATAATTCTTTAATACAAAATTTCATAAGAGTTATCATCAAAACATAGAGATATTACTAAGAAACAATTTGTGTTCTTACATAATAATCAAACATTTCACCAATAACTATCACATTATAGATCCAAGCGTTAGCTTTCTAACGCTTCCAACAACACGCCACTTGGGTATACCCAAATTATCGATTAGTGCAAAACAAAATTATGGTGGTTATGTGTCGACACATGACTTGTACAGGTCAGCTCATGGCTTATACAGGTCAACACATAGCATCTATAGGTCGTCTCGTGACATGCACAGGCCGACTCATGTACTTTATTTTTAAAGCTTGTAGCGTTTTGCTAGATGTGCTGACTACATGTGTTGACCTATAACCTATGCAGGCAGGCACATGACATTCATAGGTTTGCACATAATGCAAAATTTCCAAAAAAAAACAGTTTTTAAACCATCCAAACACTCCCTCATGTGCCAAAAACTTATGCTACAAAAGTCCATCAAACAAATCTAATTTCTCATGGTTATAACTCCCTAATTCATCATATACTCCATAGTTTTCATGAATCAATATCATATTACAACACATCATCATACTCATCACCTCTAAATCACCAATAACACAATCATGGTCAAAACCTTCAAACATCAATCAATGGCATAACATCATTAACAACATCAAAACAAAACATAAGCATACATAAGGTACACCAATTTCACATTAATTTCATCATACAATCAACAGTTATACAAACATCAGAATTGATATTTAAAACACCTAATCTTAAGGAGGTTAAGGGTTCCTCCATTCTACCCTTCCATCACACCCCTTATTGTTGAAATAATTTTCCACCCTTACCTAATTTCCAGCAAAATCCCTTTGATCCTTAGAGTTCTTCTCTGACCTCAAGCATTTGCTCTCACTCTTTGCCTCTTTTACTCCAACCCTCCAAAATACATACTAACACTCCCAGGTTCGCAAATTCCCTATTTTTTTTCCAAAACATATTTCTTTCTAAATAAACTTTTTCCATTTTACCCTTCAACTTATCTGTGCATCCCTTCCATATCCTCCATATTTTCCTTAATTTCAACACTGCCTTCAATTTCTCTACACATTTTATTTCCTCATCATATACTTAATTAATTTAAATAAAATAAGATTATTCTAAAATATTATTTATTCTAATAATCAATTAAAATTCTAACTAAACATGTCAAGCTCTTACTTTCACTATACTTCTACTTCAAGAACACTTACCCCCACAATCACACCAAAAATAATTCAAAACACCTATTATTCAAGTAAAATCCTAAATAATTCAATTGAATCAATTAATTGAATTCAGAGTGTTACACCTACGACCCGTAGAAGCCCCCTGGATTTTGTAAGAGGATTTTCCAACTTTTGACAATTTCCATGCTTTGCCCATTTTCGATCCTTTTTTCACCTCGAACACTCATTAGTCCCTGAAAACAGTAAAAACACACAATCAGAGCATAAAAAATGATAAATGGAAACAAGTCAGGTGAAAAACAGTAAAATGCTAAGTAAAAACGACTAGAGATAATGGTACGAAAACCACTTATCGAAAATCAAGTGGAGCAACATGAGATGTATTAAAATCGCTATTGCTTGGATTTTTATTTATGGTACAAATAGGCTTTTGGGGCGAGAATGTATATAATGATTGATTTTTTAGGGCTTTGAGTTTTGAATTTGGGTTTTATGTTTTAATTTTAATTTTGAGTTTGTTGAAATTCACCAAGGTTTTAATTTGAGTTTTAAAATTTTGTGTTTTTTTTAACTTTGAGTTTGTTGAAGAAGATGAAAATGATGATTTGTTTTTTTTTTGTTGAAAAAAATACTCGTGTTAGTCATGTATCTTGTAGTTAGGGTTCATTTTAGTCTCTTAACTAAAAAAATGACCATTTGAGTCCCTTAACTATACAAACTAAAAACACACTGGTCCTTTTCGTCTACTCTGTTAGTCAAAGTCTGTTAATAAGCTATGTGGCAGTGATGTGGAATGCCATGTGATTTGACCAAATTTTATGATGAAGTTACGTTGGAAAAAACCGTCGCTAAAAATTATTTCTGAATTTTTTATTGTTCTTAGTCATCTTCCTCAAACTCACAAACATTCCCTACCCCAAAAACCCACAGGAAATCAACACAAATCTAATGAACTTAACAATTTTCTACCCATTTCAATTTCTGAATCCAATAATGTTTCCAATTTTCATATGTACTTGTAACAAATAATAAAACTCACACCAGGAATAAAAGTTGTGCAAGATGAAGCTCAATTCAATCCATCTTCTAATCTTTGACCTAAACAATGAAATTCAGAAAGAGTCTAAACAACCAGATCGAGAAAATCATTTCTCAATGGCATGTTCAACCAACCGTTTCTCTCTTAAAAACTACTCAAGAAGAAATTGAAGCTTGTTCAACCAACCACCGAGGAACTTCCTAACAAAAGAGCTATAACCGACAGGGATATGTCAAATGAATAAATTGATTTTTGGAATTCCCTTGAAAATAAACTATTCCTTTTGAATCTTAACAGTGGGTTGTTGAACATGCCATTTGACATATCCCCGTCGATTCTATCTCTTTTGATAGGGAGTTCCTCGGTGGTTGGTTGAACAAGCTTCAATTTATTTTTGAGTAGATTTTAAGAGTGAAACAATTGGTTGAACACACCATTGAGAAACTGTTTTCTCGATCCAGTTGTTTAGACTCTTTTTGAATTTCATCGTTTAGGTTAAAGATTAGAAGATGGATTGAATTAAGATTCTTCATGCACCACTTTTATTCTTGGCGCAGGTTTTGTTATTTGTTGCAAGTACATATGAAAATTGGAAACATTATTGGATTCAGAAATTGAAATTGGTAGAAAATTGTTAAGTTCATTAGATCTGTGTTGATTTCCTGTAGGTTTTTGGGGTATGGAAAGTTTGTGAGTTTGAGGAAGATGACTAAGAACAACACTAAAAAATCCATAAATAATTGTTAACGACATCTTTTTCCAACGCAAACTCCATCACAAAAGTTGGTCAAATCCACATGGCATTTCACGTCACAGCCACGTAGTTTATTAACAGACTCTGACTAACAGACTAGACTAGACTAACAGACTAGACTAGACGTAAAGAACCAATGTGTTTTAGTTTGTATAGTTAAGGGACTTAAATGATCATTTTTTTGGTTAAGAGACTAAAATGAACACCGACTACAAGATATGGGAGTAAAAATGGTATTTTTTTAAAATACAATTTATTTATTTTATTTAAAAAGAATAATTTATGTTATTAATAAAATAAATAATAATTATAAATTATATGGATTTAAATTTTCTAAATGTGATATTGACCTATCTAGGAGAGGACTAAAATCCTTAATTAAAAGAAAAAAGACTAAAAACTTGAATTTTAAAATATAAAAAAAAACAAAATTACAATTAAACAAAAAAAAATTAAAGGTTATGATAAACACTCAATATGATTCACTTAATATATTTAAAGTTAAAAATTAATTGATAGGACCAATTTAACTAACAAAGTAGTTTTTGAGAAATTAAAACATAATATTTATTATTAAAGTCAAACTTTAAATTAAGTTGAGAGACTCCTCTACTAATTAAGTCAAAATTTTAAACTTGAGTTTCATGAGTTTAGTTGAATTAGTGTTTTAAATTTTTTTAGTTTAATTATTAGATAGTATGTGATTTAAATCTTTTTAGTTTAATTGTTAGATATTGTGTGATTTAAATCTTTTTAATTTATTTAATTTTTTCTGAATTTTGATATAAACGTGTTCAAGAAGATGATGGATATAGAAAGAGGGAAGAAGATGAAAAAATGTGAAAAATATTAAGAGTTTGTAATTCATTATTAGATTCAATAGACTTTCATTTTCTTATCTGTTTAATATTTTTTTAATCAAATCAAATAGTTAAGTTTTAAAAAGAAAGATTCATTTGTGTAAAAAAAAACTTATCTCAATAATACTATTGTCTTATCTTAAACATTTAAAATTAAAAGTTAGACTAACTTGATTAATGAAATTTAATTTAAAAGACTAAACGTAAAGTTTATAAATTAAGAGAATAAAATAAAACTATAAATTAAATTAAATAAATGTCTAATTAAACTTTCATTTTATTATTAACACGATTTAATATGTGAATAACTAAGTTCATTTGATAAGTAATGTATACAACAAGATGTTATAATTCATTAACCATGTTATGAGGTGAGTTAACCAAGTATTTATAAATCATTAACCATGTAATTTTTCAGAGTGTGTTAAAATTCAGTATGGTTAAAAACATCCAAAATAAATAAATACACAAAATGACATAACCACTGCGCATCCAGGGAATCGAACCGTGGTCAGTACCGTGGGAGGGTACTATGATACCACTACACCAGATGCGCCTTGATGTTTCTGTTGTTAGCCCCTTTTTTAAGATCCTATAAAAAACTAATTTTTGATATCATTAATATTTAAAATTAAAATTAAACTAATTTGTGACAATCTAAAAAATTAACAGATTTGAAAGAATGAAGACATGTTAAAAACAACTGCAAATAATTACTCATACCATTATTTATGTCTTCAATTTATAAGTTGAACTGTATTTCAAATGAAATAATACAATTGGATTTACTTTTGGATGTAATGTATCAGCAAACATCTACTATTTCTCCTCACCAATGCACTCTCCTATATCATGGATTCATGTTATAGCAGCTTACAAAAAGACATGAATGAAAGAAATTTCTTAATTATCATCGACATCCTAACTCCGCTCTTCCTTCCTCGCCGATGCTCGTATTTCTGCATATCTTCTGGAGATCAATGTAACCAATGATAGTGTCCTCAAAAATAGCACCTTCCAGCTTTGCTTCGTCAAAGGTCGAGCCTGACAAAACCGTGTTCCTAAATACAGCTCCTTGGAGATCAGCTTTCCCGAAATTAACGCGGTCCAACACTGCATTCGAGAAGTCCACACCTGTAAAAGATCATAATTGAGTCAGTGTCTTGACTGTATAGCAGCCATTGCGGAAAATGAAGAATATCAAAACTTATAAGATGTTCCGTGTGTTTGGTCTTCTACGAAGGCTAAAAATAGCATCAACATTCAGTGGATTTTGTACTAAAAAATGTTACTACCTTTGAAGCTGCCTCCAACAGCATAAGCCTTGGACATTACAACTTCTGTCATGTCAGCGCCATCGAACTTGGCATCGGACATTAGTGCTGCAGACAGTGTCTTCCCCTTTAGGTTGGATTTTTCATTTGTAAAGTCACATTTTCGGAGATCTAATGGTTTGTCGTACACGCCATTTGCCTGACCAATTGTGTTGCCGACAAATGCCCGCTCGCAGCGATTGGGCTCAGTTGACAACGGTGGCAGCCTCTGCAAGAAAAGTGTGAATCACATTTGGGCTTCATAAATTTAAACTTTAAATAACATTTATAACTGATATGATACATCACTGAAACTAAATAATTTGCACATTTCATCTGCAGAAAATAATGAATGATACTATCAAATCTCTTCCAACCTCACCGGATACATTGATACTTGACATCATGTTAACAGGAAGAGAATCAAATTATACATTGAGAAAGAAACCATCTGATCTTTTCCAACCTCAGTGGATAATTTTGAGAGCAAAAACTGTTTCTAATATCGTTGCTAAAAAAGACACCAATAAGTTAACAACTTTTGTGTGATGTATTTGAGTTTATCTAGCACATGTGAAATTGTTCGGCCCAAGACAAAAGGCCAAGAGGCAAAGTAAAGGAAACGAACTCGATGAACATGTGTTCTCACATTCTTGCCTAAAGTAGACAATGCCGCCCCGAGGTATCATCCACCGTTCAGATCAATCAGATAGTTGTATGCATTGCACGCCACATTCCTCGCAAACGTTTTTAACTGCTCCTACTATATAAGAGAGAAAGTGTGTCATTCTCTGGTATTCAAATCCATTCTCGCTCTCACATTACCTCTCATTCTCTCAATAGTGTTAACTTTGCTGGTCAACCCTCTCTCCACCGTACCGGAGGCAAAAGTGCACCGCAGCGACGCATTACCTGACCATTTCACTCATATATAGTTCTAAACCAAACATTTGAAAAAGCTAATGGAACAACTTATGATAAGTCCATAGACTATATGTTTTCAGCTAATTTTCACAAGTTTTTCAGGATAGTTTATTAAAACAGATATAATTTATTGCAAAAATATAATGACTTTATTTTATCCTGTGTCATAGAAATAACTTATTCATAAGCACTTATATAATAAGCATTTATTCTATAACTATAAGCCCTTAAGTTATTATATTTTGGGGAGTCTCAAAGAGCACCAATCCTTAAGAGACCTTAACACATATCTCTTAAAAAATCACATTAGGTAAATGAGTCAACTCTCTTATATATCTAATATATTCTCGGGTAAATGAGTCAACTCTCTTATATATCTAATATATTCTCGGGTTCTAATCAATGTGAGACTTAACGACTTTCATTTAAATTTCAACATTACCTCTCATTTTTTCACTGATTTGAACGTTGGAGTGTTAACCTTGCAGATCAACCTCCTCTCCACCGAAATGCATTACCTCACCATTTCACTCATATATAGTTGTGAACCAAACATTTGAAAAAGCTAATGAAACATCTTATGATAAGTCCATAGACTCTGTTGTGTTTTCAACTTTCACAAGTTTTTCATGATAGTTTATTAAAAGAGATATAATTTATTGCAAAAATATAATGACTTTATTTTATCTTGTGTCATAGAAATAACTTATACATAAAAACTTATATAATAAGCATTTATTCTATAACTATAAGCCCTTACTTAAGTTATTATACGTTGGGGAGTCTTGAAGAGCACTAAACCTTTAAGAGACCTTAACACATATCTCCTAAAAGTCATATCACATTAGATATTAGATATATGGGTCAACTCCTACAAAGCACGGAGATTCCTAATATGATCCCGACACTGACACGTCGATACTAGTAATAATTTTAATTAATTAATTAATTAAACATAATCACAAGTGTCGGTGCAAATATCTGATACCAACACGGACACGGACACACATTTTTTCAGAATTGTCAGTGCTACATAAGTCAACTCTCTTATCTATCTAATATATTCTCGAGTTCTAGTCAACGTAAGACTCAACCACTTTCATTTGAATTCCAACATTATCTAAACAATTCCTTAATCTATTACGCAATGCAACATATGTTCACAATTGCAAGCAAGTTAATTAGGCAACCAAGAGAACCTAGTTATGAGTGGTAGTAATATTGAAGTTGAATTTGAACCTGAGTAGCAGCAATAACGGGAAACGAAGCACAAGTAACAGCATAAGCTGCAAGAATACCACAAGCAACACCCTTGATTGTATTAAAACTAAACAACCTTGCTTTATTTTCAGATCCATCTAACTCACCTTCTCCTACAACTACAACAGAACAAACAAATTTCACTGTCTTAGCTAGATTTTCAATAACAAGAAAACAAGAGTTGAAAGAGACTCATACCAGAGCAAGTAATTCTGAAAGGTGGAGCTGAATTGGCGAAAGATGGACGTTTGGTTGAGCAGTTGCGTGTGGACAACCAACCGGTTCGTGGGAGTGGAATTGAAATGTTTGCCATTTTTTTTCTTCGCTTTCTAATTTTGGAACATTCAGAATTCAGACCACTCCACACGTTGGTTATCTTCGGATAAATATGTTACCTGTCATCATACGTGGCACTGTGATAATATATCTATTTATCTATCTAATATACAAATTTAAATTTCAAGCATCTCCATGTCAATAAAACAATTTATCTGTCTCATAATATTTTTTCTCAATTGTATTTTATTTGTTTAAAAAGAATTGTCTTTTTAATTCATTCTTAGGAATATTTATATATTGGAATAAACTTTTTCTAACTTTATATCAAACATAGATATAATATTGTTTAGACTTCAAACAAACATTCATGTAACTATTTATTTTCTTTATAGATAAAAAAGCCAAAATGTCAATAAGGTTAAAAGAAAAATATTTATTAAAATATTTTTTTATGAATAATAGCCGAAACGCCATAAAAATAAAGAATTTTACTTGACTATTATTTCTTTTTTAGGAATAGAAACTAGAATCGCACTTAGGTAAAAAGTTTTTATTTATTTATATATTAACTAAAATGACAATTAGACTAGAGGAAAGAAAAGTAGAAAACAAATTTATGATAAAGATGAATAATGGTTGAAAGGAAAAAAGTTTATGATTACGAAATTTAATAGTTTGTGTGATTATTAAAGAATAAAGTTTTTTTTTAAGAGAATGTTTTAAGTTTTAATGATAAAAAAATATATTAAAAAAATAGACTAATTCCATGCACTTCTTTGAAATATATTGTTAGGGGAGAATATGGATTTGAATGGTTCTTTTGCGAAATATATTAAACGTAGTGATGTGATTTATTGTATTTTGAACACGTGTGTCTATTCAAAAAGTTTCTTTATGATCTCAAACAAACACATTGTGCCTCCTATAAAAAATTCATTGATTATGTGAATTTTTTCTATCTTGCCATAGTTTTAGGGGTTAATTTCCAAAATCCCATAGTTTCTAATTAATATACCAAATTGTCATGTATTGCACCCTAATTTTTGACTCTAAGATCTCGCATCTTTTTGCATCATCTGTATAGTTTATCATCTTTTATATTTTTCATAATACCCAATTTATCAGTTGAAATAAACTTTTTGGACAATTTAAGTCGTTTTAGCAGGTAAAATTTATTTCAAAATTTGACAAAACACCGTATTTTTCCGAATCGTATATTTTTTGCTAATCACTTTGGTGTATTCATTTCATTTTTTCGAGTACTTCGATACCGACCCAATTATTCATTTTTTACTGTCTTTATTTCTACTTTTAATTAATATATTCTTTTAATCCATCAAATCTTTATTTTAGATTTTATTGTAAATAATTTATTCTTTTTATGTCTAACTTTTCCTTATTTTAGGGAGCTTTTAAAAAAGTTTTGATCTTATAGTACATAAAGTAGATTTTGTTCAATTTTGTAGTAGATAGTACATAATAGTATGCTACCCACCTTTGTACTCTTTACCATATATTACTCCCACAAGCTACTACCTCTAGCCTCCAAAATCCCACAAAATCTGAAAAAGAAAAAGGCTAGAAGGGCTATTCCATGTACTACCATCATCATTCTCTTTTAGACAACACACATCATTATAATACACACTTGAACTCTTTCATCTTTTTTCACAAGACAGCAAAACCCACCACTTGCCATCTTTATTTCATGATATTTTCACAAGAACCACAGAACATCTAAACAAAAACATCATCTCCTCCCCCACTTCCCACTGTTCACACGAGGATTCATCCACCTCTATAAGTATCATCATGCTATCACCTTAAGCAGGAGCCTCTTTCTATCCAAAACCGACGTACAACAACCGCTCTATCCGACAACTCCAAAGCTGCCACCGCGTACGCACAAGCTGGAACCATTACATCACGACTCAAAGCCTGTCATTATCATTCACCAGAGCAGTAACGTCGATGACATAACGGTAACAACTTGCGTTTGTTTGTGTATCGTTTAGTTTTCCTATGGTTGTATATTTGCTCTACTTCAATATAAATTTGGCTATACTATTTTTATTTGGTTTTTGTTGAAAATATAATACTGATGTTGCAATTTGTTGTGAGCGGCTACTGTTTTTTGTCGAAAGAGATATAGTGAGAGTATTTTGTTAGTTTTGACTATTTTTGTACACTAACCACTTACTGTTCCTTTTGTTTATGAAATGTAAAAAATTTGGCATGCCTTTCCACTGTATAGTTACATGTTTCTTTTTATTTATTTATTGTTATCTTCTTTTGTTTTAAATTTTAATTTAAGGATATATATACTATACATTTTAATTTTTATAATGATTAGCTTTTTTTTGTAATGTATAAATTTACTTTTAGTAGTTATAACGTACAATTTTTAAATATTTATTATGTATAGATTTTTAGCATTTATAAGTTAAAAAGATATTGCAAATAATTAGATTGTGGCATACTGTTGATTTTAATTTCTATACATATATTTACCTTAGTTTGTTTTGGATTTTATATGTAAATGTCATTAGTCTGAAAATTTCATGAATGTATACTTTCTGTTCTAGATTCTTATGTATATATGCTGTTAGTTTCGGTTGAGTTCTATAGATATAACACATGTTGTCATTAGTCTATATATATCATTACTCTCTCTCTCTCTCTCTCTCTCTCTCTCTCTATATATATATATATATATATATATATATATATATATATATATATATATATATATATATATATATATATATATATATATATATATATATATATATATATATATATATATATATATATATATATATATATATATATATATATATATATATATATATATATATATATATATATGCATGTTAATATATTGTACATTTTCTTGTTTTCTAGATTTTATAATCATATAGTATATACCTTTATATTTTAGTTTCTAAGTTTTATGATTACATATTATTATATATACCTTATATTTAATAAACATATACATGTTTAGAAGTCCATTATGCCATCTTATTACTTTAAAAATAATATTGTTGTTTTTGTTTTGTAAAAAAAATCATATTTATTTATATGAATCTTTTTAGTTTATTTTATTTTATTATTTGTTTTATTTGCTTAAGATTAATTATATAGTAGAATTTAGGATTGGAGTCGCCGTGCTCTATTTAGCGTCCCTCCGTGGACATTCTCTCCCCTTTATCCCAAACTTAGGATTTGAGTCGCCGTGCTCACTTTTAGCGTCCCGCCGTGGACATCTTCTCCCCGTTATCCTAACCTTAGGATTTGAGTCGCCGTACTCATGTCTAGTGTCCCGCTGTGGATATTCTCTACCATAACAATCTCAATTTAGAATAGGAGTCGCCGCACTCCCTGTAAGTACTTTCTTATGAATACTTACATCCCTCTGGAACCTTGACCACAGTCAAGATTTCTTTATCCCTAGATAGGGGAACTACGAACGCTCTGATTTCTCAAAGTACCTTTTGAGAATACGTAGGCACAAGGCCCCGATCCTTGGCGAGCAACCTTTTTCTTTTTTCTTTTTTTCCAACCTTTTCTTTTTTCCTTTGTTTCAACCTTTATATCTTTACCCTTAGTACATTTCCTTTAGCAAGCAAACTTTAGCAAACACAAATATTAACAAGAGGTTCCTGTAGAGTACTACAGATGTTTAGGATGTGAAATACCTACCCTAGGCATAACCAACCCCCGAACCTTTAGATCTCTCTTTGCTTAGCTTTAAGCCTTGCTTTTTGCTTTGCATTTTTATAGGTTTTTCTTTCTTTAAACCTTTCCTTTTTTGGATAAATTAAAGTCCGGTTGTGAATTTAAGAATTAAAGATTCAAGTTAATTTAATAGCTTGGTATCACGATTCTCACCGCAACAGAACTGGCGACTTCACTCGGGAATTCCCTAAGAGGGTTAAACCCATCTTGTTTATATTTATGTTTGCTTGCTTGTATATTTGTATATTTGTACATATATCTGTCTGTGCTTGGGTTTTCTATATGCAGGGTTGTTACTTTGAGTGGCGAGGATAAAAGTCCTATACCCAGACTTGAGTGCACTTATGATAGGAAGGTGGTATATTCAAGAAGGCTTATAGGGAGTTAATTCCCGACCAAGCTGACTTGAGAAACCACCACTCAGTGGAGGCCCTCTTGAGAGTAGCTTTGTTTAATGAGTATTCGTGAAAACATTACTACTTTCAACCTAGGAGCCTGTGACACTAAGCACTTTAGTTACCTTTTACCCCCACTTGTCTTTTAGGACGTAGTGCGATGACTATGAGGGAGTATTCCCGAAGTAGTTGATACGCGATACTGCACTCAAACGAGACTCTCTTGAGAATATTATTGATTTCCAAGTAGTTGGTGTGTCAATAATATCCGAAAGATGGGTCAATGACTTTGGGAACTTTGTTAGAACCCGTTGTGCATGTGCTTTACCCCTAGTACATACCCTGTGGTTGGTTCTTTACCCAGACCTCATGTTGTGATCTCGAACCTTTGATCCTGTTATGTGTGTTTTGCTTCCTGTCTTGCATCGCGTTGCATTGCATTTGCATCTTTGCATGGTTTGTAGCATACCTCTGTTTGTCCAGTCGCTCATCTTCAGTTGTCTTCATCGTCCAGTGTGCCTTTGAGTCGCCAAACTGATTCCTCGACACCGATATCGGACTAGAGCTAACTATAGACGCAAGATGTCAGAACAAGAAGCACACAACGCAGAAGTCCGAATGGAGATCAATGAGTTGAAGTCAGGCATGACTAAACTTACTGAGATGCTTCAAGTATTGATTGCCAGAGGAGAGCCATCTCAAAGGACTGTCATTCAAGAAGTTTCAAATGCTGACCCTCCTCCTGTTCAAATGCCACAATCTACTTGGCCAGAGTTTGGTTTACCTCCTAACTACTCTCCACCTCTTGCATCTACTGCTATGATTGGTCCGACTATCAGACCAGTTTTTCAAGCTCCCATCTTTACAGAGCCCAGACCTGTGGTCCACGCTGTTGCCC